CGTGCCAAACTGTAAAGATACAAAGAAGCCACCTAAAGAACTCACCAATCAATATGGGACTCAGTTCCTGAGAGTTCTGGGCTACTCAGTCTTAAATGCTTTGAATATTTTGATTAACAGTGTAGATGATGTTTAGAAGAACAGGGTTCTTTAAATATAAATATTCCTTTGTGAATTTCACTTTTTTAAAGAGAGGTAAATAACTGCCTCAAGATTAAAAGTAAAGTTCTAATTGGCCAAGATCAACTGGTGAAAAGGCTCAGTTATACAAATTGAGATCAAGGAAGAGTGGAGGTGGGATTGGCAGTAGTGGGAAACTGCTGAGTGAGGGGGACACCTCATCAACAAGTGTACCTGAATAATGAACATTTGTATACCTAACCCTGAACTGTATCCCACATATTTAAAATTAAAAAAAAATTTTTTTAAAGATCACATAAAGTCAAAAACATATTGCATTTAAGTGAAGACATGGAATGAAACAAACCAATAAATATATATGAAAAAACCAGGAATCCCGTGTTCCAGGAATAATTGTGGTTAAAAGATTCGCAAAATGTTAGAGCATATGAGAAGAATAAAGAGTTTAATGGTTTTGCAGACCACAAATTTTTTATTGCATCTGTACTTGATCACATTCATATAGTGAAATCAGACAGCATTCAATTTCGAGTATTCATATAAATGGAGAATTTTTTAAAAGCACACAAATAGTGTATGTGATAGTAGAAGAGGAAAAGATTGTACTCGGATACCCCTTAACAAGCAAAAGTTAAGGATCTCATGGATGACCACTTAAGAAAGATGATGACTATTGGCAATAAATAGAAATAAAGAAATAAGATTACACTCCAATAAAAAATGTATCCTTATCTTTTTCTTTCCAAATATGAATGCAACAATAGTTAATTTTAGGTTTATACAAAAAAAATTGTGTGCTGACTAGATGGATGTAAGCATACATATGCTATCTGTGCATATGTACAATGATATTTAGATAATACATTTGCAAACTCTTGCACTGTGTCAGAGAATAGTAATTAATTTTCGCCCTAAAAAATTGTATGTCAAGGTCAGTCGGTCATTAGTATTAGGTTGATAGAAGATGTGAGGTTTCCAAATCCTTAAAACCCAATACCAAACTGCAGGGTCCGGCATTATAGCCATTGGTCTGTAATTCCTAATCCAATTATTTTTATAAAAAAACTTTCAACTGGATGATATATTAACTTAGCATAGCCATAATAATAGTTAGCCCCTATTCGCAAGGTTAAACAAAGAAGACAACTAAAATGAACAGATAATTCAATTAAAAATTCAGTATGAGAATAAGAAGAAAAGATAGAGAACACTCATCCTAAAAGAGCTTTCTATAGTTATATTTATAATTAAATCATATATTTTAAAAAGGAACTTCAAACTCTATCCTTTGGCTTTTATTTAATCTACTTTCTTTTTTTCTGAGTAGAAAAAGGACTGATCACTCCAGGCATGAAGTTGAAAGATCTATATTTGATTACTGAAAGAAATTTCAGTATTTCTAAGCCTGAAAGACAGGAATAGAGATGAAATAAAATTTGCTTTCATATAAGTGAAAAGCATAATTAAAATTTAGGCAGAGAAGTTGAAAAAAATTCATCAAAATTTAGGCAATTTAAAAATAGTATGAATAAAAAATTTCACAGTAGCAAGCATTAGAAAACTATGTCTATGTTCTTACTGTCTTTCTAAGAATCAAAAAAGTTTTATAATTATTAAATAAAAATTTTACATTTATCCAGATAAAGAAGCTTTTATTCAGCAGATAAGAAAATAGCAACAGAAAAATGTTAGTAAAATTAAATTAGGTAATAGGAAGAACATACAAGCACTATAATTACTATCGTTAAATGTTTTTTGTTTTCTTTTGTTTTGTTTTGGTTTTGAGCTGGAGTCTCACTCTGTCGCCCAGACTGGAGTGCAGTGGCCACTCCTGGCCACCACACCCTTGACCTGCTTGGGCTCCGGCGATCCTTCTGCCTCAGCCTTCCAAGTAGCTGGAACTACAGGCGCACACTACCACGCCCAGCTAATTTTTTTGATTTATTGTAGAGATGAGGTCTCGCCAAGTTGCCCAGGCGGGTCTCGAACCCTTGGACTCAGGCAGTCCACTCACCACGGCCTCCCAAAGCGCTGGAATTACAGGCTGAGTCACCAAGCCCGGCCTCATTAAATGTTATACTGAATTGTGCAGCTTTAAAAATTCTATGTATTTGTCTTACAGACAAAAATTTTACATTTAAAATGTTAAAAAGAGGTTAAAAGGAAAAACTAAATATGTATAATATTTAATAAATATATAAAAATGGATAGGGAAATATTATTTCTTTAAGATTTTAATATAGCTTCTCTTTAAAAATACAGTTGACTGTTTTAGGTCACTTCATTGCAGATCCTAAGGGAAAATTAGAACAACTTGTTAAAGGCAAATTTCCCTTCTAATTTTGCTGAATATTATTAGTCCCACAATAAAACATGATACCTTTTTAATGAAGTCTAAGGAATGACAAAAACTACAAGAATTCATTTTAAATACCATGGCTACAGGAAATATCAACTTCAAACAAACTACACTAACTAGCTGGATGAAGAGCTACCAGTGATCAACCCTCTCCCTTCACAAAAAGCAAGAAAGAATTTCACCATAATTTTGTTTAAATATAAATTGATGCTATATGTCAAATATCTTTACATCTAGTATTCCTCAAGGGTAAAAGATTTTATAAGAATATTATATATATTATGTTAATTAGATGTTTTTATCACCTTGTGTTAATATAGCACCTTGCTCCAAATTTGTTAACAATATAAATCTTTTATCGTTTTAATCAGGACACTCATTACAGTATATGTGGTACATGGCCTTAGGCAGAAAAGGTCATTTCCAATACCCCGCACCAATGTAAAACCTTGGCGCCTCAGATGCGTTGCACCTTTGTATTGGGGAAAAAAAACAAACAAAACAAAAAAACCTGATATGTCAATTAATTCTAATTATGTCGGACTTTGTTAAAAAAACAATTTGTTAAAGTTTAAAAAGATAAAAAACATGTTGCCCAGAAAATATATGTTTCAATAAATATCCTTATAGGTTTCAAAAACTGGAGAATGGCAATAAATAACCTTTAATGTCTAATTTTAAATTTCCATTATACCAATCAATATGGTAAATAAGAGTCTCAGAGTGATACATAAACATGAATTCCTTGACAGAAATCTTGGCACTATATTAACCAAGTCTTTCTATCTGCCTGGTAGGCCTAACCTAAAGAAAGATATGCTATGTTTTGGTTTATGCACAGAAACAGGTACATGCCAGTGTAAAAATATATCTACAACACAACTGGTCAGCTTTATCCAATAACCTGCTTAGTTCAATCAGTGGTCAGTAACAATATGCTGAGTTAAATTTGAAAAACTGTATGCAGTTCGTGGAAGTTAATTATAAAAGAATATAATCTACTTAAATTATTTACTCAGAGTTATCTGAATGAACATGTACGTGAGAACCAGTCTAATAATTTTCCACTATGGTATACGAAATTTAACTTATTTGCTGGATGTAGCATATTAAATATGCATATGATACAAAGTGACAGGACAAGTGAACTGCTTTAATTCAAACACTTTACTGAGCAACTTGGTCAAGAGTAATTAGGGTAAGATCTTGTAAGTGAATAATGAAAATGACATAAGAGCAAAACTTTTTAAAAGCACACTGGATCCCGTTCAATGACAATACAAGTTGGGGCTGTGTAATATATACTTCTAAAGTGGAAACTGAACTTTCAAAGACAAAATCTCAATTTAAATATTTATCAGATTTTCATATTATTAATGCTAAATTCAGAATCTGGCTATGGTTCTCTATGCAACCTCAGATAAGCATTGTTCAATATATGAACTATTTATTGGGGGTCACCTTTTTCAATTATGAACACTTGACAACTACTGAGGCAGATCTCTCAAGGAAAAAAAAAAGAATTTTAAATGATACAGAGAAAGAATTGGGTTTTCATCTCTCATTCCCAGACTCTAACTGGACGAGTGAAGGACTTCTATTGTTTGTCGTGGTGCCCTCTAACGACTAGATGGACCTTGTTTTAATAACCACTCCATGTGCAATGTGTTTTATCATTTACACTGCTGATGGTAGGAAGCAATCTTCTTTAATGGATGCTGAAAAGCTTCAAGTGAAATCTGTAATTGACAAAGGCTTCATAGAAACAGGCAATTAAGAATAAAATTAATGAGAGGCTCTACAGGAAAAGCACTCAAGCTTTCACAGAATACTTCTCTAGGAAAATATTTAGTAAAAATAAAAATTTAAAAAAACCAAGTGTGGTTGCTTTCGCTTCATTAACTGCCTCTTGGATCTCTGTACTTGTTTTTAAAATGACCATAGATAGAGTTCAAGTTATTAGTTCTAGACGAATAATCTATCTTCTAACAGTATTGGGTGGGAGAAAAAGAAAGAAAGAAGGAAAGAAAAATAATAAAGAAAAGCTGAAGGTGAAAGTTGGGGCAAGTTCAACACCTACTGCTTCCAAATCAAAGCTGTTCAGTGCGGTTCTGGTACCTCACATCGAATGGACCTGTGTGTCTACAGCAAATCAAAAGCGCTCTGAAGAGCAAAGCAACAAGGGTAGGAAGGAGAGAACAGGGCACTGATTTCCTTCAAGGCTCCAGGAGCCCACACCAATCCTTGTTACTAGTCCAGAAAGTGAAACATCCGAAATGATGACTATAAATAAGAGCACAAAAGCGAGCGAAAAAAGAGCAGAACCGTCGCCTGTGCTCCCCTTCGCCCGATTCCCCAACACCCCTTCCCCCACCAAAGGAAGTTTACCTGGGGCCATAGGCCAAGCCGGGGGAGGTGGCCTGGGGTGGTTCTCCAGTGGGTTAATTCCCGGCTTGGGGGATGGAGGTCGCTGGGTGGGGAAGGGGCGGGTGGCACTTACTTTGAGCAGCTTGCAGCGGATCTGCGCAGAGACCATGTGGCTGTTGCGCAGGTTGCCCACCCGGAACATGAGCGTGAGTTTTCCGTCCCTCATGGAGATCACCGCGTGCTCGCTAAACATGAGGGTCTCGGCGCGCTTCTTGGGCTGGGACATCTTGATGAACATGCAGCCGATGAGGAAGGCGTCCACGATGGAGCCCAGGATGGACTGAAAGAGGAAGAGGATGATGCCCTCGGGGCACTTGTCGGTGATGTATCGGTAGCCATAGCCGATAGTGGCCTCGGTCTCGATGAAGAAGAGGAAGGCGGAGGGGAAGTTATAGACATTGGCCACGCAGGGCGTGTAGTTGCCGACGTGGGCTTTGTTCAGGTCGCCCCGAGTGTAGGCGATCACCCACCACATGGACGCCATGAAGAGCCAGGCCACCGTGTAGGTGAGAATGAAGATGAAGAGGTTCCAGCGCCACTTGAGGTCCACCAGCGTGGTGAAGAGGTCCGAGAGGTAGCGGCTGGTCTCGCTGCCCAGGTTGCCGTGCTGAACATTGCACCGGCCGTTCTTGTCCACGAACCTCTGCCGCTTCTTCTTGGGCACAAGCTGCTGCTGCTGCGGGTCCTGGCCCGGCCCCTGGGGCTGCAAGCCCGAGCCGCTGGACGAGGTGGTCACTACCTGGTAATCGTCCCCAAATTTCCTTCGGAGTGCAGACATAATACGGAGGGGCGAGCCAGATTCAAACGGGAAGCGAAGGCGCAGGAGCTGGGCGCTGCAAACTAGCACCAATAAGGAGGTGGGGGCGGGGGAGGAGGGGGAGGGCAAAGCAAGCGCTTCTGGGGTGGGGGGCGCACCCGGCAAGTAGCAGCGGTCCCTGCCCCCTGCAGACGCCTCTCCTTCTCTCCTGAGACGGAGGCCTTCTTTCCAAGGTGAGTCTTTTAAAAAGTGTTCTCCCGCACTCAAAGCCGGAGAGATGCAAGGACCGGGAACCCAAGCGCAATTTTGCCTCCAAGCTTTTCGAGGCTCCTCTTTCCTTCCCTCGCCACCGGCATCCCGGGCCACCTCTGGCCTGCCCACAGCCCTCCTGACTCTCCTGCAGTACCCCCAAACTGACGGTTTAAAATGAACAAGTTGACAGGCGAGTCCCACTCCACCTGCCAACGCGCGGGATACCGAAGCTGCCTCTACCTGCTTGGACCAGACCCTCCCCCCTCCCCGCCGCTCCCCAATCTTCCGCCCCCCCGGACGGCTCCCGGCACCCCCGGAGCTCCCTCCTCCTATCTTTTAGCCAAAATCCCGCCCAAAGGCATGTCTGCCGGGCACTGGTGCAACGCCCCCTACCCACGCCCTCAGGGCTCGGAGTCCCCGGCTCCGGACTCCAGAGACCAGTCAGCCTGGCGTCCGCGGGCCGCCGGGTTTCCGCGGGCGCCACCGGGGCCCTCGGGCAGACCCTCAGGAGCCCGCAGGCCGCCCCCGCGCTCCGCGGAGACGCGGCGGTGCGCGGAGACTGGGCACTCACCCAGAGAGAGGGCAGGAGGCGGCGCGGCGGGCGGCGGCGGCAGCCTGGCCTCGAGCTCCGCGCTCACGGCTGTTTTCCTCGTTCCCACTTTTCCTGGTGTACCGCGATGGGCGCCGGGGCAGGTCCCCCGAGCTCCGCCCCTCTCCGAGGGTACCACGCCGTCCTTGCCAGAAAGATCCTGGCGCACCGAGCACGGGCTGAATCGAGCGGGGGACTCGTGGGTTCCTTGGCGATGTGCCTTCCCTCCAGGCGACGGGGTTCGAGTCTCCGGTTGCCGGTCAGACTTTCAGCTTAAACACTTTCGCCGCTCCAGTTTTCCCTCTGCCTTGCGGTGGAAAACTCTCCCTCTTCCTTCCTGGGTCCCCCAACTCCTTGTCCGCGCTTCGGTGGCCCCGGGTGGAGGATGCGAGGCGCAAGCCGGGGCAGCGGGAATGTGGTGTGTGTGGTGGTGCGTGTGATCAGCTGCAGAGCCGCGCTAGCCCCGCCTGTCCCTGCCTTCCCCCGCTGCTCCACCAGCCTGAATTGCACCTCAGAGCCTCAGTTGAGCCTGCAGTGTCTGGCAGCTCAGGAAAAGCAAGCCCCTCCAATGAGAAACGGCTCTAAATCTGCTCCCAAACGCCCGCCAACTCTCCTTCCTCGCCCCCTGCATCAGTCAGAAAGCCCCCAGCAAGCAGCAAATGCTGTTCTCTGAAAGCAGAGAAGTACAATATGTCTCTATGACTAGGGCTCTCATTTAAAGGGATGCCTGGATTTGGGGCTGCATCATAAACAGATCTACCCACTGACTCCGAGATATCCATATTCAGAACTCAAAGTTGCAAGGAGCAGAGGGAGCCTTAGGGTGAGAACAGAAAGGAGAAAGACACTAATAGGAAAGCTCCTAGTCCCTTCTGAAAATGGCTCTATTAGAAAGGTTCAGAATATTTAGAGTTAATGTGTTGCTGTAATTGAGGGAAGAAGGCTGGATTGTGATGGCCCCGGCTTGACAGTTAACTTAATGGAGGGGCAAAGTGCAGAAATAGCTAATAGAGTGCCCATGAGTAAATATCAGCTTGTTTACCACATTTCAAATTTGTTTTAAAATGCCATGGTATCTTGTGGCATATTCCATTCAGTCCAGACACATAAAGTTGATTTTGTTGGAAAATCTCAAATGATGGCATTATGAAAGCAAAGGGCTGCCATAAGACTTCCACTCTAAGGAAAATAAGTACATAATCACTATCATTTCCCTGCCAATAGGTACACTCCCTTCTACCTCTCTATCTCTAAACCTTAGTGCGTGCCAGGGCATGTCAGCTTGTCAGCTGTAAGCAGAGGACTCTTTCACTGTCATTTGGTTAAAATATCTATCCTTGGTTACAGATGCTTCTCCTACAGGCTCTCTGATAAGAGGTCAGTAACTCTCTGTTTATTCTCTCAAGATTACATAAGAAGGGAAAGTGACACCGTGGGAAGTGGAAACTGCTCTGTCCTGGAATCATAAGACCTGATTTGAGTCCTGTCCGTGCCATTTACAGACTGTGTGACCTTGAGCGAGTAGCTGAGCAACTTTGAGCTCCAGTTTTCTCCTCAGAAAAATTGGGAGTTTTAACATTTTTTTCAGTGTTGGCATGAAAAAGGAGAGAGAATGTAGTTTTATTGTTTCTGCTGTGAGGGCTGAAAAGTTGCAACAAGGCCAAGAAGAGATTACAAATGAGTGTTTGGAGTTGGCACCATGCTGTGAACTAACATAGATATTATCATCTCATCTCTGACTACTCTCCCCTTAATTCACCATACCCTTGCCAGGCTGGCATTTTTTAAATCCTGAAACACAAAAAGGCATAATCCCACCCTGGGGCCTTTGGACTATCTGTTCCCTCTACCTGGAATGTTCTTACACTCATTCATTAGGCCAGCTCCTTCAGTCATTCAACTCTAACCCTAAATGCATCCTCCTCAGGAAAACCTTCCCTAGCACCTCAGGTACTCCGTATCACATTATCCTGATTCTTCTTCTTCATGACTCTTTTTCCGCTACTTTTTTGTTTTGTTTGTTTGTTGTCTCTCTCCTCAACCATTCCCAGTTGTAGAATGTAAGCTGTACGTAAGCAAGGACCTTGTCTGCCTTGTACCCTCCTAAGACTCCCATACATAGAAAAGTAGTCAACACATAGTAGGTACACAACAAATATTTGTTGGATCAGTAACATGTACCAGTCTATGTCACTGGAAACTCTACATGCATAGAAACTCTCTGAATAACACACAAAATTAAAAGCCATCACTAAATCAGGTCACTTATATGACATAATCGAAAAAAGAGTAAATTTTTTAAAAAAAGAATAATACTTCCCGTGCTTGTTGACTTTAGAGTTGATAATCAATATGATTCCAGGAACTTTTGATTGTACTACAGCAGCATCTCTCAAATAATTCCCTCTATCTCTTAAAAACGTCACTAACGTTCTTAAAAATCCCTATTTGAGTTTAGGCCCAAACCCAAATAATTTTCTTGTTTTCATTAGGTTTTTATTTCCCTCAAACTGTTCTAGATAGTATTATTAGATTTATGGCCTTAGAATCCTGTGTTTAGCATTGAGACAGAAAACAAAGAGTCCTCCAGTGATTTCATCTCCAAGCTTTTAAAACCTCACTTTTTGAAAAACACTTTCTCATTAAAAAAAAAAAAAAACTTCACCATTTTCTAACAGCCAAATATATAAACAAATAAGTTTTTACTTTAAGAGAATGGTCTCATCTAATCATCTTTTACAAATGAGAAAATTGAGGCAAAAAAGACAAAATAATTTGTTTGAAGTCACAGAGCTGATAAGTGAAAACTGAGATTTGACTCCAGATCAATCTGTCTCTAGAAACTGGGTGCTCTACTATCCCTCACCAGGTAGTGGCAGAGTAAGAAAGGAGCCTGGGATTTCTGATCCATAGCCAGGGCCATCTTACTTTATAGGCCAAGCTTCTTATGTAGGTTGAGATACAAGTTCCTACAAAATATGGCCTAGTCTAGCTTTCCAAATTATCCCCTACTTTCCCTTTACTGGGACCCTGCTCTAGTAAACTTTAACTGTTAGGGATTCCTTAAACATGCCCTACATTAATTTCACTTGCTCATTTATTTCTCATCACTTAGAATATCTTTTTTTTTTTATCTCTGCAAAGTCCAAACCACAGTCACTAGTATGTAACAGAAAGGTAGAATTACTTCACATTTTATTTTAATCGCTGTCCTTCCACGAAGCCTTTCTTTATACTCCTGCTAACAGTAATCCATCCCTCCCCTAAATTCTCATTTCTGTCGATTTGTGATGTAGTGTTATTCACACTCTAGCTTATATTTCAGCTTATAATTCACCAGATTCCTTTTATTTATTTATTTTTAATTGGAGTCTCACTCTATCACCCAGACTGGAGTGCAGTGGTATGCTCCCAGCCACTGCAGCCTCGACCTGCTGGGCTCCAGCGATCCTTCTGCCTCAGCTTTCCAAGTAGCTGGAACTACAGGCGTGTGCTACCATGTCCGGCTATTTTTTGATTTTATTGTAGAGATGAGGTCTCACCAAGTTGCCCAGGCGGGTCTCGAACCCTCAGGCTCAGTCTATCCACTCACCTCAGCTTCCCAAAATGCTGGGATTACAGGCTAAGCCAGCAAGCCCAGCTTATTTTCATAAGACAAGCACCCTAAGCATCGACCTCTTAATATTTTGATACCATCCAGTACTCTAGTGATCCAACCTAGCCTTGTACATGATAAACATTTGATAAGAGTTTTAGAAAGAACAAAAACGTATTAAGAACCTAAGAACCTACTTTAATGTGCTAGATAATGTGCTTAGAGATTTAAGGTTGGTATTTGTATGACATAGAAAAACAAGCCGGGCTCGGTGGCTCAGCCTGTAATCCCGCGCTTTGGGAGGCTGAGGTGAGCAGATTGCCTGAGCCCGCGGGTTCGAGACCCACCTGGGCAACTTGGCGAGACCTTATCTCTACAATAAATCAAAAAATTACCTGGACGTGGAAGCGCGCGCCTGTAGTTCCAGCTACTTGAAAGACTGAGGCGGAAGGATCGCCGGAGCCCAGCATGTCGAGGCTGCGGTGGCCTGGAGTGGCCACTGCACTCCAGTCTGGGTGACAGAGTGAGACTCCAACTCAAAAAAAAAGAAAAAGAAAAACAATGGAGCAGAAATTTCAAAACACATCTGCCCATTTTTAAGGTACCTATTCTTTTGGAGACACAGTCCTACCTGAGAAGTTAAATATTTTTCAGTATTCCATCATGTCACACCTTCAATGTGACCGAAGCTTCAAATTTGTGACATTGAGTCCAACTCCTTGAAAATGTTCACAGATGAACCAAACTCCTCTTTCCCTGTGAGGACAGCTGCTTCTCAGATGAGGTTCTGGAGGGCAGCCAGCCCCACGGTGGGGAGGCCAGGCTGATGTGTGAGGAATGGATGATATGAGGCCACCTAATCAGGTGCTGTCTGATGAACTGAAGTGAAACACTGCAGGCAGTGTGGGTGAAAGAAGGGAGATGC